AAATCGTCATTGTTCAGACAAACCATAATTTTTATAGCTTTCAATTTTGTTTGGTTACAGAGCCATCAAATAGAAAAACCAAACCCCTCTTTCCACACCCACCTGTCACATCCTATCTTTCAGCATCTGTTAATAGTTCTCTCTTACATTTAATTCTATATTATTTATAACTAATAGAAAGCCAAGGTTTTAATCTATCAAATGACGTATTATAATAGATTGTGTTCTGAACAGAGAATTGTCAATTTCTCTATAAGAACAAGCTTTGTTTCCACAGGAAAGATAACGACTAGCTTGGATGAATTTTAACAGCACTTGTCGCATAGCTAGAGAGCCAGAAACATTATGATAGTTAGAGAAAATTGTCTGCTTTTGCATGTTATTAGTCTATGTTATTTGGTGCATTATTTAATTAAATAAAAATTATTTTGTGCATTACTACCATTAGTGTAAAAAAAAGTAGGTTAAGTGTCATCGACAGCAAAAAAAAAAGACATAGGTAAGTACTTTATTTTTGTTTTTCATGTTAATTAAAGTTTGATTAAGTAAAAAAAAATGTTTCACAAGGCATGCACACAAGCAGCTCATACCCAAGTGATTTACAACTTATAATGGTGTGAATAGTAGTTAGCCATGGTTCAAGGGGCAATAAAACAATAAAATTTAATTATAAATAGATGTATACTGTTAGGAGTTTAAAGCTACTTAGGATAAACAAATGTAGTTTTATGTTACAATTTGAACTCATTCTAGAAAGAAAAAGAGGGTAATTTAGATTTATTTTGGTGGTTACAAGGTCAGTCAAATTGACCAACCCTGTATAGAATTAGGGTAGAGAAAATAACAGATGCCGCAAATGAAATTTGAGATTTTTGAGATGAAGTAAAGTATTTTTAATCTTAACATGAAAATCACTTTACACACGGATTATTCAAAACAAATATTCACAGACAAATCTTTTTTTTTAGCTGATTAATAATACTTCACTAAAAAATATGACTTTTTGTATGTGAAATACTTATAATGTTTACTAAAAGACTGCCAAATTTTGTGAAGACATACACACTATTCTAAAAGTTAATAGTATCAAATGTATAAAGACTGAAAGTATAAAGAGGTCACATGGTCGGTCAAATCGATCGAGCCCATATGGAGAGAGTTAAAGGGATATGTATACTTTGTGTATACATAGTTTTTAGTTTTAAAAGTATGAATTTTTAAATGTTTGTGTGTATATGCTAGAATTCAGCAGTACATAATTTTCAAGAACTCACGTAGCTCCCTAAAAATATACTCAGTGTTTTTCTAGCAACAGAATGAACAATGTGAAATATGACAATAACAGCAAAAAAGAAGAAATAAAAAAAACTACTACTCCAACAGGCAAAGTATAACTGTAAAACATGTTTCATTGGCATTGGGCAACATTAATTCCACACCCCTGTTTTATTACTTTATGTTAGAATGTTTACTTTAAGTATGACTAGTTTTTAAGTTTATCTCTATAGTTACATTGTGGCTATTTAAAATGTTCCCCAAAGACTAATAAAAACAGACAACTCTCCAGTTTCATAGGGTACAGTGACACTGAAACAAACAAAACAAGATTAAAAAGCATACAAAATTCATAATTCATACTTACAGTGGAAGCTAAGATGTCATGAGGACAACAGCTTAGCAAAAAACACCGGCAGACACGAGGGTCAGTGAAATGAACCTTATACTTGTTGTTTTCTCCTATGTAAAGGATAAACCAAAATAAAAATATTAGAATAATTAATACTAGAACTAAACTTTAGTTTCTCATATTTCACAAAGAAAATATATGATCACACTATTCTCAAAATACACATAAGAGTACTAGATAGCAATTTTAATCAAATTTTACACCCTAATTCAAGGACCACCATACCTATTCCCTTCAAGCAGGAGCAGGAAAAAAATAATCCTATTAGCTTTAGTACTATTTTATATTAATAACATTAATAATTGTTCATATGTGTATATAAGTTTCATTTACAAGTTCCCAGTACCTATACTAGGTTTTAAACTAAGTTGTAATGCCAAATAGGTACTAATATCTTTTACAAGTTTAATAAGATCAATCAGAGAGATTTCATACCCTCACCATGCCACTACTTTTCAAGATTGCAAGTGTTTATATTGGATAGCGTGAAATTTCACCTTTAAAAACTCAGAAAATCCTTTTCAGATCCAGAATGATTAACAATCTGGATCATTTTTTCTAGTGTGATGAGGACCCTCAACCTTGATGTGCCCATAAAATTTGATACAATTCTGATCACACTTTACAGGGTTATTAACCCCAAACCGATAAAATGTCCTATAGCTTCATTATAAGAAATGCTTCAAAGAGATCCAGAATATTGATTTGGATCTGAACCAAATTTAAGGACTTTCCCATAATGACTTCCCATCTTGTGTAAAATTTTCGGGTGTATTGGTCTATTAGTTTTCGAGATACATGCATGGAAACACAGAAAGACACACACACACATGATTGCAATGAACACTAAAAGACTATGTTAATTGTAACTGATTCTTTTATAGTATTGATATATTTCCCGCATATTTCAAAAATGTATATCCCAAACTTTAAACAAAATATATATGTTTTGAAATAACTCTTTTGATAACAGGATGAGTACATCATACTTCAAAGGCAAAAAACTGTACCAACTGGATTTAAAAGAATCATAGAAAATAAATATATATTCATTTTTTCACATACACAAAAAAACACTTCATTTGGAAGTTATTTAAAATTCTTAGTAATTATTTCACTTTACACCTAAATATGTATCAAAATCAAAAATTTAGATTTTGAGTTGATTTTAGCTCACTCCCAACACAATAACAACTAAAAATTTCCTGAGCATAACATGGCACTTGCAGCCTCCTACAAAGAAATTCATAACAGCTTCAAACAAAATAACATTTGTTCTTATAAAATGAATACAAGTACAGTTTTATCGATTTTTAGCCAATCACCATTTCTCAACCATGGTTTGATGTAATTGCCTAAATGTCAGCTTCAAGAAGTCATATGCTACTGATTTGAACACATCAGAAAAGCTCATTTTTTGTTTGCTTGAGTGTAAAAGCAATAACACTTCTAGTTCAGCATTTATTACTGTAGAGGTCAGCACAAAGTGATACAAGCGTAACTTGGTAAAATGTTACAATAAGGAAACATGCCCACAAACAACTTCCAATGTAATTACAGCCGTGATTTTTTTAAAGCTTGCTTTATCATTTAATACTTCAATTGCATTATGATGGGAAAAAAAAAAACTTTTTGTAGAACAAGATGGGGTGGCTTAGTTAAGTCGTTTTACACTTGACTGTATGAAGTTATGTTTTGCAGACGAGGTTTCTGTGTTAGGCTTTTGTTTATATTAGTTTATATCAGCCTAAGTAACTGCTTGAATGGATAAAGAAAACTATCAAAGATAGATGTGAAAACAAATATATCAGTGGTTACACTAACCTTTGAAAAATTGTTTTTAAACATGTCTTCTACAAATTTGAATTTTAAACTGTAACACCTATTTTTTTTACATATTGTATCAAAATATTTATTTTCTGATGTAATATTATATCAGGTTAATTAATATTTAAAAGTACCTGCAAACAGTAATGTGTCACCTACAGTTCCTTACTTCTTAACACCAAGCACTTGAAAGTTTAAAAACAATAAAAGAATTACTCACTTATCAGTCACCTGTTACAACAATACTATGTACACTTTTCTGGATGTCTTATATCAGACAGTTCAATATTGTTTTACATGTTCATAAGCATGTTTACAACACTGTTAGTCTTAAGTGTTGTATCTCTAACAATGCAATTACTCAAATACTTTGTAACCAAGAGATCATCATTCATTTTATCTATTATGTAAATGCATATTAGTCAAAGTTAAAACCTATTATTTTGGATATTTTTCAAGTAACCTAATTTGAAAAATAAGCATCATAAAAGTCAGAATACTGTCCATATATTTTATAAAGCTACTAAGACTATTTTTCACTGTCCCTAATTTTGAACTGCAGACCACAGGGGAAGAATGGCAGCACTCACTGCCAGATCTTGGGCTACTCTTTATTAATGACCATTGGGAATGATTGTTATGTCATAACTGTCCTCTGGCTGAAAGAATTGGAGGTACAATTTTCAGATTTTTATTGCTTTTCATTTGAAGAAATAATAAAAAAAAAGGTGTCTTTTAGTTATGGATTTAACAAAAACAAACAAAAAGATATTAGTATATTAAAAACGAATGGAAAAATAAGTATTGGTTCTAGACCCATTGCTCGGAAGATTCCGGCCAGATGAAAACTTGATGTACAAATCACTAGACTTCAAAAGCTATATTTTAGAACTTTTTTTTTTCCAACTGTCTTATGAACCAGCTGAAATTTCCCTATGGATCATCAGTTAGAAACTACTAACATAAAAAAAATTCCACAGGAGTGCATATAATCATGAAAACAAGTTATGAGATGCTATACATGTATCTCCAATAATCATAGTCGTTTGGCCAATAAAGACAAAGGCAAACAACAATTTGTAACTATAACGTTGCTACTGTAAAAACAAAGAAAAAAAGTTTTATCTCATAAGAGAAACACTCGAGAAAAGACTGCTCTAGATTAGAAAATAAGCTGTCATGATTTATATTCAAATAATTGTCTTTAGTATCTTAGAGCTAATAATAGTAGTGTCTATGCCATCAAATCCTGCTATGGCATTAGATGTTGTGAATGTAGTCTTTTGAACAGCAGGTGCATGACCATCATGTGTAGTCACTACTCAAATGCCTTTTTTTTCATGTTTCTCGGTGTCTACGATTCATCAGTATAATGACAAAGATTTCTTCAATTTTGAATTACTAAAATTTTGTTTCTTGAATTATCATAAAATAAATTCACCCACATACTGTAACAAGTTCACAAATATTAATTATACACTTATATTAGAAATGTTTTACATTTTGATTTGAGTGGACTTTTAACATAGATGTAACAATAGCCAAATGTATGTACATTGTAAAGTATACTGATAAAATATGCCTTAAGAAGAAAATCTGGCATTATGTATATATATATATATATATATATATATATATATATA